TCAAATTGATTACATCTGTATAAAGAATTGCAAGAGAAGTTCAATATCAGTTGTGAAAACTAGGCCAGGTGCTGATTGTAGAACAGACCAACTACTCATATACAAGTTCAGGCTGAAGTTAAACAAAATTAAATCCACAGGAATCAAAATTTGACCTTAAGTATATCTCATTTGAATTTCAAAACCATCCCAGAAACAGGTTTGAGGCCTTGAACACCAATGAGTGAAGATCAAAAGAGCTGTGGGAAGATTATCAAGAATATCATCCATGAAGATTGCAAAAGGGCATTACAAAGGCAGAGGAGAAAGAAAAGACCAAGCTGGATGTAAGACAAGGCTCTGAATAATGCACTAGAGTGCCGAGAGGCCAAAGCAAAGGGAAGAAATTAAGGAGCTGAAGAGACGATTTCAAAGGGCAGCTCCGGAAGACAAAGGAAAGTATGATAATGAAATGTGAAATAGATCTGGAGTCAGAAAAGCAAAAGAGCCAAACACATGAGGCATTTCTTAAGCTGAAGGAATTGAAGAACAAATTCAAGCCACGAGTTGCAATACTTAAGGATGCTTTGTGCAGAATAGTAAATGCTCCAGGAAGCATTAAAAGAAGATTGAAATGATATACAGACTCACTGTATCAAAAGGAATTGACTGGCACAGGAGAATTTTCTGAAACAATGTATGAGCAAAAGCCTGTGGTGGTGAAGGAACAAGTTCACATTGCTCTGAAAGAATTACCAAAAAACAAGGCCCCAGGAACTAATGGCATACCAGTTGATATATTTCAACAAACAGATGCTTACTAAGTTGTGCCAAAAAATCTGGAGGACAACCACCTGGCCAGCTGACTGGAAGAAATCTTTATTTATTCCTATTCTAAACAAAGGTGATCCGATAGAGTGCAGAAATTATCCAAAAACAACTGGAGCAGTACATAAACTGAGAACTGCCAGATGTGCTGGCTGGGTTTAGAAGAGGCCGTGGTACTAGGATATTATAGCTAATGTTAGATGGATCTTGCTGAAAGCAGAGAGTACCAGAGGAATGTGTATCCGTGTTTTATTTACTATGCAAAGGCATTTGACTGGATCACAACAAACTGTGGCTGACTCTGAGAAGAATGGGAATCCCATAATATTTGATTGTGCTTATGCAAAACCTATGCTTGGACCAGGAGGCAGTCGTCATAACAGAGCAAGGAAACACTGCATGGTTCAAAATTGGGAAGGGTGTACACCAGGGCTCAATCCTGTCTTCATACCTTTTCAATCTGTATGCATAACAGATCATCTGGGAGGCTGGGGAATATGAAGAGGAATGTGGTATGAGGATTGGAGAAAGAATCATCAACAATCTGCATTATGCAGATGACACAACACTACTTGCTAAAACTGAGGAGGACCTGAAGAACTTGCTGTAGAATGTCAAAGACTTCTGCCTTTAATATGGATTGAAGCTCAACATCAGGATAACAAAGATTCTCACCACTGGGCTGATTGACAGCATTATGATAAATGGCAAAGAAATGGAGATTTTTAACATATTTGGTTTCTTGGCTCTACAATCAACACTGTTGGTACCAGCAGCCAGAAAATCAAGAGATGGATTGCATTGGGAAAGTCAGCTGTCAGGAACCTTTTCAGAGTACTTACAAGCAACAACATCAGTCTGTAGACTAAGGTGTGCCTGGACCAGGCCATAATCTTCACAATTGCTTGTTATGTGTCAGAGAACTGGACAATGAGTAGGGAGGATAGAAGGAAAATTGATGCCTTTGAGCTGTGGTACTGGAGAAGAGTATCAAATATATAGCATCGACTGCTAAGAAAATGAATAGGTTCATCCTGGAGAGGGATAAGCCAGGCTGCTCCAAGGATTCTGAAGCTTTGTCTGACATACTTTGGACATGTTGCAAGGAGGGCCTGTCTTTGGGAGAGGGACATTATGCTTAGGAGGGTGGAGGAACAGTGCAGGAGAGGAAGACTCTCGATGAGATGGATCAACTTAGTGATTGGGGTAGTAGGAGTAGGTGTGTTGGAGACAATGAGGTTGGCACAGGATAGAGTAGGGTTTAGGGCTCTTGTACATAGTGTTGCTATGAGTCTCAAGCAACTCAGCGGCACATAACAACAACAACCTTGTAGTTTATTTCCTATTCATTTCTTGATCAATCTCTGTGTGTATAGGGAAGGTGCACTGCTGACTCAAAGAGAGTGCCTTTTTGGAGGTTCAAAACCACTAGCAACTCCTTGGAGAACAAGATGGGCAGTCTCCCATACATTTTGCAGTCCCTGAAAATATATCCTGATTTTATGACTTTTTCTGTATTTTATAAGACATTTTTCTCGTTTAATTAGAGAGACCAGCAGGAGGTACAATCTAGGCCTATTTCACAAATTAAATCTTATGACAAAGAGGAGGATGAATACAGTTTAAGGTAAGTAACTTATATTCTCAAATACTATTTCTGGATTTTTTCCATAATAATGTAGTTCTTTTATTATATAAAATACTTTTTATATAAATGTTAAAAAGACACTATTTGAAGAATAACATAATATGTAAAATAATAATTAGGGACTTAGTCATATACCATGTACAACCTTTGCTTGGTTTTGCTCATTTAATTCTCAAAGTCTTATTATTTTTAGATAATATTATGTCCTTAGTATTATTGTCCCCATTTTGAAAATAAAGAAACCACAACTTTTAGAGAGGTTCAGTAGCTTCTCTAAGGACATGTTTTTAGTGTATTGAATTTAAACCACTATTTATATGATTTCTAAACCTGTTTTCTCTTGTAATACTGCCTTTCTTTTTAAAAAATTAGATATGAGGATAAAGTAAAAAATAACCAATAACAATTATATATATATATACACATACCTTGATGTTCTTTAATGTCACATATACTTCTATATGTCAAGAAATTAGGGAACCATAAAATATTTATGAATACATTTAATAGGGATAGTATATAATCTATATGAATAAAATTACAAATATTACTGTAGTAGAGACAGAAAGTCTCTTCAGCTTGTCCGTGATCTATGAGAAGAAATGGATTTAATTTCTTCTAAAACTAAAAATTTAGACTGTAGCCCTATGGCTCCATTCTTTATATGCTGTTTCTTGTTAGGTGCCCTCAAGTTGACAAATACCAGTGAAATTCCAATTGGTAGAATCTCCTAGCCTCCTCTCTGGATACTGTGTGGAACATGAGGAGTAAAGAATGCTCTCTCCCTTCACTGCTGCTTTGAGTTCTTTAAGCCTTTGAAAACTTGGAATTAATATCCTAGGCCATTCTGAGCAGTGTAGAAATTGGTAGTGCGAGTGGGGTGCTGCATAAAAAAAACACGGTTTTAACAATTAATTGATAGCTAGCAAGGAAACGCATAGCAAAGATTGGAAAGATAGTGTTTAGTGTTATGTATTGGCAAGGCATTTTGTAAAATTGTCACCTGTTTTGTTGTTGTTATGTGTCGTCGAGTCGCTTGCGACTCATAGCGACCCTATGTACAACAGCCCTAAATCCTGCTCTATCCTGTGCCAATCGCACTGCCTCTGACATTCCGATTACCTCAGTCACTGAATCAATCCACCTCATAGAGGGTCTTCCCCTCCTATGCTGTTCCTAAAGCTGTGGCTTCACAACAACTATTAAATTTCAGTAAAGGTATTTCAAGGCAAAGATCAGATTAAAGGGTACACAGTAAAGCTTTCAAATTGAATACAGTTCCTTTGGATAAAGGTTATACTAAACATAAAGCCTCATGTTTGATGATTGACAGCCTTTAAATAATCCTTTTTAAACCAAGAAATTAAGATGGAAAGGTTGAAGTTTTGGTTGTTCTTTTAAAAAAATGTATTTACTTAAATGTATATGTTTATTAGGGAACTTTAGTGACGTACCCTGTAATGAATTTCACTACCAACCCAAAAGTCTCTAGCAATTCTAATCCACCAGCAGCTCCAATGGTAAAAAAAATAAATAAATAAAATAAAATAAAAATGCACAATCTCCTTATGTGATAATAGCATTGGAAACCTAATGGGGGGGTCAGTTATGAGTGAGTTCCTACTCTCTGGCAGTGAGTGAATGGGTTAATCTTTGCCATCAGTTGAACTGACTCATACCTGGTGGTCCATTGTATTTCTGTGGTTATGAATTTTGCAGAAGGAGGCTGTCCGTCTTTTCCCCTCTACAGGATTGGTATTGACTTCCCAAAAAACATGCCTCTGGAAACTCTGTGAACTTTGAGAAATGAGGATGGTTATAGAAGGCTTCAGGTCTTGTTCATAGGGCTGCTATGAGTCGTGCTCAACTTGATGGCAGTCAGCAACAACAGAGCTCCATATATGTATGTGTATGTATATTTATATACATATACATGTATATATATACACACAGAGACACAATATGATTGGCACCAGCAATCAGGAAATCAAAAGACAAATTGCACTGGGAAAATCTGCTGTCAGAAACCTCTCCAGAGTACTGAGGAGTAATGATGTGTCTAGAGACTAAGTAAGGCCATGGTCTTCACAATTACTTGCTGTGCATGAGAGAGCTGGACAGTGACTAAGGATGACAGGAGAAGAATTAATGCCTTTGAGTTGTGATGCTGGAGAAGAGTATTTAACATTCCATGGCCTACCAAGAGAACAAATAGGTCTGTCTTGGAAAAGGTGAAACCACATTTCTCCCTGGAGGCTAGGATTTCAAAACTCCATCTCACATACTTTGGGCACATGGCCAGCAGGGACTAGTCCTTGGAGACGGACCTCATGCTTGGAAGGGCGGAGGGACAGCGCAAGAGAGGAAGACCCCAGATGAGATGGATTGATACAGTAACTGGGGCAGTGGGGGGAGGTGTGTTGGAATCAGTGAGACTGGCTCAGAACAGGGTAGGCTTAAGAGCTGTTGTACGTAGGGTTGCGAGTCAAAGGCAACTTGACAGCACATAACAACAACAACAGCATACACATATGTATATCTAAGAACTAATTCCTTTTTGTTTGTTTTCTATTCATTCATTGTTACACACTTTCCTCCCTCCCCTTCTCCTTCTCCCCTTCAGTCCACTTTGCAGTGCACCTCTTGTTCCAGATTGTTGTCATACTCCTTTCAGACAGTTCTTCCCCTGATCTGTTCCAAAGCAGTGTTCATTAGCTATCCACCCTTTTCCTATTCTCCCCCAATCCCCCATATCAGTACTATTTTGTAACAGTGGTGTCGTGCAGTATTTGTCCTTTTGTTACTGATAATTTCACTCAGCATCTTATCTTCCAATATATTGTGTAATGTTTTATGAGTTCAATTTTTCAGTGCTGCATAATATTCCATTGTGTGAAGGATGGGCCCTTGGGTTGCTTTCATGTCTTTGCTATTATGAATAACTTAGCAGTAAACTTGAGTGTGCATGTATCTGTTCAGTTGCAGCTCTGGTTTCTTTAGGGTATTTTCCCAATAGTGGAATTGCTGGACCAAATGGTATTTCTATATCCAACTTTTTGAGAAAGTTCCAAACCACCTTCTATAGTGGTTATACTATTTTACATTCCCACCAGCATTGAATAAGAGTTCCAGTCTCTCCACAGCCTCTCCAGCATTTGTTCTTTGCTGCCCTGCTGAAGTTTGCTATTGTTGCCGGGGTGAAATGATATTTCATGGTTGTTTTGGTTTGCATCTCTGATAGCAAGGGATTTTGAACATTTCTTCGTGTCTTTGTTTGCCATCTGAAGGTCGCCTAGGGTGACATGTCTGTCTATTTGTATCCTGTGCCCATTTTGTGATTGGGTAATTTTTTCTTATTGAAGTGCTGTAGTATCCTATTAATTTTGAATATTAGTCCCTCATATGATATGTCATTGCCAAATACTTTTTCCCGGTCTATGAATTTCCTATTGACCTTGCCAGAGAAGTGTTTGATGTGCATAAGGATTTGATTATTAGAAGGTCCCATTCATCTATTTTATTCACTCTTGGTTTTAGGTTTTTTATTATGCTTGGAAGTCTGTTCCTGCTGTGGATTCAGGCTTCTAGAGTTGTTCCGAGCTTTTCTTTGATGATTGCCTTTGGTTTTACTTCTAGGTCCCTGATCCACCTTGAGTTTGTTTTTGTTCATGGTGTGAGGTGTGGCTCTTGCTTAAGTTTTCTGCAAATAGTTTTCCAATTTTGCCATCACTATTTGTTAAAGAAGATGTCATTTCCCCACTTACCTGATTTGTCTCCTTGTCAAAAATGTCTGTTGCTGTACCAGCATCATTTTGTCTTGACCACCAACCACAGTTGTGTAGTTGAGATCAGGGAGTGCTGCCTCCTACCTTGTTTCTCTTTTTCAGTAGAGCTTTGCTTATTTGAAGTCTCTTTCCATTCCAGATAAAATTGGAAATTGCCTTTTCCATCTTTTTTAAGTATGGATGTGGTAGCTGTATTGAGATTGCTTTGAACTTGTATATTGCTTTTGGTAAAATTGCCATTTTCACACTATTTAGTCTTTCTATCCATGAAGATGGTATATTCCTCCATTTCCCTAGGTCTGTTTTTGTTTCTTGTTAACGTTTTGTGATTTTCCTTATATAGGTCTTTAGCGTCTCTAGTTAGATTTGGTTCCCAGGTATTTAATCTTGTGATTAGGTATTGTAATTGGTGTTATTTTTCTTAGCTCAGTTTCTAGATTCTCCCTGTCAATGTAGAGAAATCCAACTGAGATTTTTATATTGATCTTTCATTCTTCTACTTTTCTGAACTGGTTGTCTATGTCCAATAGTTTTCTCACTGAATATTTGTGGTTTTCTAAGTATATTATTATATCTAATGTATATAAGGATAGTTTTTTTTCTCCTCTACCAAATTTATATACTTCTTATTTCTTTGTCTTGCCTTACTGCTTTCTCGTAAGACTTCCAGGACAATATTGAATAGGAGAGGTGATAGTGGG